AAAAAAAAAAAAAAAAAAAAAAAAAAAAAAAACATGGACTTCAAAAGATGAACAACAACCAAATTAGTACCCATCATCACACTCAGTATAAAACATATGTGCAGGACACATGGCTCCAATTTTTGCAGTTCCTTTCCTTGGCCTGTTGCGAATATGAGGATCCTTAGTAATCCTTAAAAATGAAATCAAAGATTTTGAGTTAAATAAAGCCATGGTTTGATAATTAACAAAATACATTAGGGTCATTCCACAATATATCGCTCACTTTTCTCCAAATTTCTTTTCAAATGTGAGAACTTATAGGACCAATCACCCAACTCAAGAAACCGAAACAAAACCTGGAGAAACAAATGCCCCGCCAATTATCGCTTGCCAAAGCGCAAAAATTTTTCAGGGTCTCCGCGCGACCACGCTCAGTTTGATTTTGCAGCAGTAAAATGTAGTCATAACGACAATAGCAAAAGGTCCGTTCGAGTGCGAAATTTCACTAAAATACACTGAAATTGTCCCATTCTGTTGACTTAGCTTACTTTATCTCTAAAGCCCAAAGTTTCTCCACTTTAATTCTTTTATTTCGTAGAGCAGGAACATAGTACATTAAAAACAAATAACTTCTTTCCAAAATGTACTTTTTCGTTCCCCAGTTTCCTATGTAGCAAGTCGTGTAAAGAGTATATTACTCAAAACCTATAGGTAATATGATCTTATATACTCATAACTGTTAAAGTGCGCCTAAAAATCGTTAAGATATATTTTTTCATGTGAAAAAAAATGATCTAGGAACACGGAAAATTACTCCGCCCTAGCGCAGGATAACTTATAAGCTAATTTGCTTCTTCAAATTCTTTTTTCGATTCTTGAATGGTCTGAAGAGGCCTTCTGAACCTCAAAGCTAAAGTCTGACATGCCAAATGAAAAGTGTGCGATCTGATGCGGAAAGATAAGAAAGTAAGAAACAGTAAACATGATCCTAAATCATCAAGTTTTTCTTAACTGGAGAGCTAGAACCCAAAAAATGTAGTCGGGTCTATACATTTCTACCTATAACTGCAGAATGAAGACTGTACTTCCTTATACTAAAAAAATTTCGAAAATTCAATAATTTCAACAAAAACTTCAAGCCACCTACCTAAAACACAGACAGAAACAATTTAAAACAAATGTCAGCACGAATATAAAACACATCTAAAAAGTATGTTAGAAAAATGAGTATGAAAACCCACGCCATTCGGAACTGTTGCTAATTAAAGAAAAGGTTCACATTTTCAAATGCAGCTCCCAGTAATAATGATTTTAAAGCTCTGAACCCAAGACAAAATGATGCCCTTAGTAGCTTGAGACAACAAAAAAAAAAGAGAGAACCACAGCGAAACCTTTTGGCACCAGACCGGTTACAGTACAACTGCCGTTTACTCTCCGACTTACGATGACGAACAAATGCCATGTTCTCAGTGGCAGCTAGATGATCAAGGTAATTCTAAAAAAAAATAAGTGAATGAAAATGTTTGCAATGCCATAAATCTAAAGCATTTAAACTATAATTACAAAACTGTTACCTGAAAATCAGTAGTTGTGGCAAAACGACGTCTTATGTACTGAAGCTTTACTCCATGCACCTCCGCGACATGTTCGTTCAAAGTGTGAATTGTAGTTGCTCGATGTTCACAACCAGGACACTTTACTGATGCCTAAACAAAAAAGAATATGAAGTTTTATAAGTCCTGTGTTCGAAAAAAAAATTGGAAATTAATTACGAGCTAGAATTTAAATACAAGATTCCTCTCACAAAAATCTCGCGCTAAATAAATACCCTAATAACAATTCGATGAACTTTGAAGCGATGAGCATTCATACTATTATGGTTTGCAAAGAACCGATGACATCGTTCGCATTGTAGCTTCCCCTTGGATATTTCCTTGTTCACGAAATCTTCATATTCTTTGCCTTCCAAATGCACATCTTGCGGTGCACCCTAAATACCTGAGCAAGTCATAAGCGTTTCAAAAAAAGGCAAATCAATTTTAAGCTAGTCACCGCTTCTCCTTCATCAACTCCGTCGACATCAACCGGCTCAGGGATTTCTTCGTCTTCCTCATCTTCATCAGGATCATAATCATCTTCATTAACCACGTCAGCAGTAATTCTCGCCTTGAAATAAATGAGTAAGGCAGTTTTGAAATAAATAAGCACAGGAATAAAAACACCATACCTTTTTGCTCGACTCTTCATTCTCCTGCGCTTGTTCAGTTGCAAAGCTACCCTCCTGAGAGCCGACATTATTGCCGGGATTTTCTTCCACGATTTCCGGACCAGGTTCTGCTGAGCTTTGATGAACTTCTGAATATCCAACTGGAGGCTCGTAAAAGTCACCATACCTTTTCGGTGTCCTATGAGTTCTTTTCGGCCTTCCACTGCTTTCTGGTTCAAGTGATGCTGAAACAAACACGTAAACAATATATTAAATCCTCTTATAACAAAAAAGGTAAGACAGTAAGTATTATGACTCGCAGCAGTGAAAACTAGTTTCAACTGACCTAAGTTGTTTTGAAGAAGGAATAACTAAAACTGAGAAATAAGACGACATATACCTTCAACCGGTTCAGTTTTTACCATCTTCGGCTTCGAAGCTCGAGTGGGTGTTGCTATTTCCTCATTTTCCTTTGGTGGCCTACCGCGTCGACCCATCGGTTTTTTAGCTTCCTATATGAGACGTTTTTGATTGAAAAAAAAAATTTTCATTTTGAAAGTAGTCTATCCCCATCTCAGTGAACTAAATCCAAGATAAAATGCACTAATCTTTAAGTTTTGGAGGTACCAGACGCATAATTTAGGTGCAAACTCATAACTTGAGAAGATAAATGAATTAAAAAATAAAAAAACTAGCAAAAAAAAATTTATTTTCAAAAACTAGTACAATCTTATTTTCTCTACAAAAAAAAAACAACTTTGTCTTTTTTGGTGATTGGAGGGATAATGCGTCGTTTCCGAGTTGGTTTTTCTGGTGGTGGAGTGTTGTTGATGCGATCTTTTCTTCGTGCCATTGCAACAGCTCGGCTAAATTCCGCTGGGACGGTACGAATCACAGGCGGGGTGACAGGTTCCAATTTGACAAAAGTTGGTTTCTCACCAGGTGTATTTGACTTCATTAACACCACAACTTTAGCATCACGAGGTATTGGACCTCCCGATGTCACTGGTACAAACTTATTTGTTGTCAGACAAGCTTTCTTCCCACTCCCGTCGCCATCAGCTGTTTGCTGTTGTAAAGACGGTCCTTAAAAAACATTCTTGCTTTATGAGCAATATTCAGATAATGGACGTAAAAGCAACAGGTCACATAAAACTTCAAAAGCTAGAAATGAGGACTAACCAGGGTCTCTTTCGACACGTGTAGGCTCACCCTTAATTACAGGACCACTGTTATTACGCGATGTTTGTCTAGTTTCAATAGTCCGCTCAGTTTCACGCTCCCCTCGTCTCACTTCTCCTCGACTTGGATTATTCTGCTGGTCAACTTCGACCTCTACCTCAACATCTACACCTGCCGGCATACCCCCTAGAAGCTCATCTTCGGTTATTATTGTTTCCATTTCCAGCATTACATCTTCCTGTTGCCGAACAGCTTGCTGAGCGGAGCTCGGCTCTGACATCTGAAAGTTGAACAAGTTAGTTACCATAATTTACAATACGACTAAACGGGTTACAGCTTCCGCAGTCTTATAAATTTCTTGCAAATTGCACAGACATGTATATGTAAAAAACTTACTCGCCATTTTAACAGGGCGTTCGAAAAAGAAGATCAATGACTATATCACAAATGTCAGAATGGAAAAAAAAAATCCTTTTAATCAACTTCAACCTAAAGAGGAAAAAGTCAAAATTCGAAAATTGGCATAACGCCAAGCAATGCTGATTCTTAGAGGACTGGAACTGCGCTTCAAGTTGCTTAAAATATTAAACTCTTTCCATCAAAAATCTATACATTTAAGGGATTTAGCTAAATTTTAGAATCATTTGTCTTACTGGTCAACACAAACGTGACGATAGCCATATTTTCACATGATACTGTCTTAATATTCATGTTTGGTATTTGCATTTAGTATTTTACGCATAAATAATCCGAATTGCTGAAGAGAAGATCTTTTTCTTTGCAAGAAAAAAAAATTTGTCAAACAAAGCTGAAAATACAACTTCAAAAGAAGTAAATGAAACCAGTAGTGGTAAAACGAAAAGTTTGACTGGTAATTACTCGGAAAAAATTTCTCTCATACAGCTGCTCCGTGTATGTTATTATCATAAACTCTTGAAATACATTCGTCATATTTTTCATGACCCTCTAGAAAGAAATGCACAACCAAGTTTTCCTCTTTTCTCTAGTTTTTTCAGTGAACAACATACTTTGTTTACAATAATGAAAGGTGCTTGGAGATTTCATGTGCATCAAAGCGGTCAAATACAACAGCAACAACAACAGCTCCTCTAATCAGATACAGACACTACAACTTCCCACAACATTATGTCAAAGCAGCAACAGTAAGACTGAAAGCAAATTACAACTCAAAAAAATTTACGTTGTTTTACTTCCACAAACAAACGTTGTCTCAACGGTTCCGTGAACTCCTAAGATTTCAAATTACACCTGGAGAAAAAAGCAACAAAACGCTGAAAAAAACAGTAACAGGAAGGAAAAAAACAATATATTAAGTTGTTTTAATCTTCTGAAAAGAAAAAGCAACCCTTATCACAACATTAAGTAAAGAAATTATCTACAATCAACAGAAGATAAGAAAAAAAAAAGAAAAAAAAACAAATAAATTTCATACAAAATGACGAGTTACTGGTCAACAAATATACAGGGGTTAACTAAACTTTCCATAACCAACTAGAACTTTCTTCCTTAAAACTTGAAGCGTTTTCCCGCTTCCTTCACCATTCTTTTCGTCACCTCCCATTTCTGCTGCCGTTAATTGAAAAGTAAAATTTGCAAACCCTTCAGTTTCTTGCAGAAAAAAATTCGTTCAATTTGCAATCAGGTAAGAATGACTTTCAGTTTTAAATGATAGCGTCAAAACTCTTCTTCTCTTCACTGCCTTATTTCCATCTAAAAGTCTTCATTTTCATTTCTTCCCTTTAACTTTTAACATTTCAGCATATTTTATCAGTTTAAATTTCTGAAATAAAACTTTCCCACCGATACCAACAAAAAACAAACAAATCGACTGGCAAAAGGAAATGAAAAGGAAAAAAAAAAAACAAAAAAATATTGTGCTATCACTGGAAGAAAATAAAATTTTCATAAAACGTAGCAACGCTGTTAAATGCCGAATAAATGAAAAATGCCAAAAACGAGACGCCTAATGCAGCGCTGAAGTGCGCACAGCACAACACAGCAACATTGGCAGCAGCGACAAAACCGCCATCATCGTCGACAGCAGCAATAGCGACAACAGCG